AAAGAAAGAAAGAAAGAAAAAGAAAGAAAGAAAGAAAGAAAGAAAGAAAGAAAGAAAGAAAGAAAGAAAGAAAGAAAGAAAGAAAGAAAAAAACAGTTCCTCCTAGATTCTCCCCTCTGTCTCTCTCAGTTGTCTTAGTCTTGAGTGTCCAGGTAAATGAAGCTCTGTGATTGGGCCACATTCCATCGTCCTTAATCCAATATAGACAGAGTGAGTCCTAGATGATTTTCACAGAGGCAAATGGGGAAGGATCTGAAGTAAGTTTCTGGATAACTTAAGTGGAAAACTCTTGAGTACAGAAAAGTTTAATTACCCAAATTGCTTATCAAATTGGCTGGGTGATCCATATTCAGTTAACATTGCACGCTTGTCTACTTAAAAAATACAACAGCAGGTCAGGCTGAGTGATCCTTCAAATCACATTGAATCTGTGTGTAAAGAAACATCTCTATCATCCCATTTCATATACATACAGAAGTTCTGTGCTGGCAGTGACCCTGAGTCGAGGCGAGTTCTTTTTGATCTGTAGCTCAAGCTTATTAGCTCAAATGATGTTTGAGAAGAAATGAGTTGGACACAGGGCAGAAAAAATAATCAAAAGAAAATTTTCATGCCCCGCCCCCTTTTGTAAGTGTTGAAAAGCTATCTGATACCTGAAATACACCAAGGGAAATGAAATTAGTGAAAAGTATTACACATCTAACAGTGACCTGCTTTCACAAGTGTGCCAATGCTCCAGTGTTATTCCTGGGTAGGACTTTGCCCCTGTGATTTCCTCCTTGGACCGACTGGAATAATTGGTGCATGTTAATGCACACACTGGGGCTGTCCTTTTCCCAGGCTCTCCTCACCATCGCTGCTTGGCTATGAGGAGGCCTTTGCCTCACCCCAGGGTGACAATAGCATTCAGATAAGTGTGTCTTTCCCTTTGCATTCAGATTCATGCTGATTAAGTGGCCATCTGATGGCTGAGAGAGGAGGTTATTTTTTATCCCATAGTGAAAGGCCTGGGAGACTTTCTACTTCTTATTTTAATTATACTTTAACCAAAGAATTATTTTAAAGTAACCTTATATTTGAAAGATGATTTTTGCAATAAATAACAAATAAATAAAAGTGTGCCTTCTGGAGCTATGTGGGTTTGGTAAGTCGCCGTTGATCATTTTCTTGCCGGTTTTGTTCGGAATCCATGTAAATGGTCTTCCTGCTGTGTGTAGCACCGCCCTGGATGTGTCTTTTTCACTCTACAAGTTGTATTCCTGCGAAAATGAGGTCTCTTATTCCAATTATCTAATGGCGTGGGGAACTCAGTGAATGGCAGCAGGGAGAACCCTTCCTATCTCACTGCCTTTGTAGAGAAGTTTGCTTCTATGCTCCAAGAATGGCATTCCTCTGTAACCTAGGCGCTAGCTTTAATGTCACAGCAATGATGAATTGCTCTTTTGAATCTGCTCGAAGTATATTCATGTGTTGAGAATACAGATGAGCCTCCCACTAAGCTTCGCAGGGTCGGCACCGTCAACTGAACCAAATCTGCACAAGGCTGGATAACGAGACTCCTGGAGATTTGCATTTAAATTGTAATCTGGCACATGCCAAGTGAGGGGGGGAAGGCGTTTCGTATGATGAGCCTGTGCTGCTGCAGGGGAAAGACTGGCAAGGAGGGCAGGGGACAGCCTGGCTTAAACATCTGTTTAGGTGAACGTCTGTGTTACAAAGGTGATGGAGATGGGGTTGTTAAGTGGGTGCTTTTCATCTTTAAATACGTGATTAAAATTGGATTTTCTTTTGTAACACTTCACCATTGATTTCTGGGAAAGTGACCATAGGCATTGTCTCTCAATGCAAAAGAAATAACTGGACTGCTACATATGTAAAGTATTAGTTTGCTGTGTGTAGGTTGAATATTAGAGTCATTAGTAGTCAAACAATAGACAGTTCTCACAGATATTTGCCTGGTACTCCTTCACTGCCATTACTTGCACAGAAATTGTGCAGTTGTTCAACTATTCATGGACTCTGTATGGAATACATGTGTATAATGAAAACAATGTATACTGGTTCCTTGGTTGCTGCTGAGAACAGCATCCCAAAGCCTTTGAGTTATGTGTCCACCATTCTGAACCTGCTGTGTTGGGAAGGCATGTCAGTTTCTTGCTCACTTATGAGACTTTTGTATCCCTTCTTTTCTATGTGATCCTGGTGTATTTATTTGGGAGGAGGTATTTGTAATTACAAAAAGAGAGAGAAAACCACACCTAGCTGTACTACCAAATTCCTTGTACACTACCTGCGGCATTTGTGCTTGCTGGCTGAGAAGCTGATCTTCCTGATAGAGCTGTGACAGCATCATGATCAGTTCACTGCTTTCCAGGACCATATCCACTAAAATGGTTCATAGATGACTTAATAAAAAGAAACCATGTCCTCAGTCAATCCAGAGCAACTGCAAATCAAATCCTGAGTGTGGTCTCTTCCTGTCACGTCTTCGGATGGCACTGTGGTCACTGTCACGGTGCAGGTGTCCATTGAGAGTGTGAATCTTAGCTGGGTAGTGGTAGCACACACCTTTAATATCAGCACTGGGGAGGTAGAGGTAGGTGGATCTCTTTAATTTTAAGGCCAGCCTGGTCTACAGAGCTAGTTCCAGGACAGCCAGGGCTACACAGTGAAACCCTATCTCAACCCCCACCCACCAACACCACCGAAAAAAGAGTGTGACTCTTCCAACAGAGAGATGCTAGCTGCTAATGGAAAGGGGAGGATCCTTTTGTGGCTCTGTGGCTCTCTGGTCCTTTCTGGTGAGGCATCCAGTTGGAAAGGTGAGAACACAGCAGTCACTGAAAGCTCATGCCTCCAGTTTATCCTAGGCAAACCGTAGGGGACACAACACCTTTCCATCAACTGATTGGGGCCAAAGCTCCTGTGACAGAATCAAACTAACAAGAGAAAAATAGACAAGTTTAACTTTTGTATCACACAGGAAACTTCATAAAGCAACTAAGACCCCCAAACTCAGAACACAATGAAGCCTAGCGATATACATGTATATAATTGGTTTTAGTTATGTTTTTCACATAGAAACTCACATAGCCCAAGCTAGCCTTGATCTAGTTTTATGGCTTTAAATTCCTGGCCCCCTATCTCCACTCCCCAAGGCTTGGATTACAGACAAACACCACCACACAGGGCTAAAGCCTAAATATTTTCATGCTAAGTTTGAGGGCAAATGGATGGTTGTGAAGAAACGTGACAGGGCAAAAACAAACTGCAACAGCTATGTCACCTACTTGGTTTCCCCTTAGTTTCCCTCCATCATCAAAGACAAGAAAGCCCCCTCTCACAGGAGGGTTCTGGGACTACTGGAAGGGGGTGCCTCGGAGCATCCTTTTAGGTTTTATGGCCTGCTTTGGGACAAAATGGCATAGGTGGTAGGAGTAACCTAGCTGTCATTTTCAAACTCCATCTTAAGAATCCTCAGTTATACCAGAGTAACATATTTGAAGGGGGCAGTTCTGAACCCCATTGGCATCATTCCCTATCAATGACCACTTCCAGAAGGGGTAGTGTGCCTGTAGGGGGGAAAAGGGCAGGCACAGAAACACACCCTGACCAGAGCCAAAGAAACACAAAGAAACCAGAACCAAAGAAGCCCTGACCCTGAAACCAGTGTCAAAGAAACACACTTTGGCCATAGAATCAGAGCCAGTGAAAGAAATATGTCCTGGCCCTGAAATTAGAGCCAAAAGGCTAAAAAGGGCCAGTGAAAAATGCACACTTTTGCCCTGAAACCAGAGCCAAATCTGATCCTGACCAAATAAGCAGAAAGCCAACCAATTCCTGAGCAGAAAACCAACCAGTCCCTGGAAAAACTCCACCCCTATGAAACCCTATATAAACCCTGTGCCTGTTCAGTTTGCAGCTGTCCTCTTCCAAGATGGCAAAAGCAGCCACTCTCCTAGATTCTTCCCTCACAATTCTCTTGAATGAGACCTTTCTTCACTGGAATGGAGAGGAGGAGAGAAATAACAACTTTTCCCCAGAACCAGAGTGGAGCAGGGCTGTAACACTTCCCCTAGCTGATCAGAGGAGGGAAGGACATATTGGGGGGGGGGACCTGAGCCAAACTGTAACAACTTCGCCAGCCCGGCCCCTGCCCCAACAGAGCTGTTACTTTGGGGAAACCTTTCCCTGGAGCAGGGCTGTAAGCTGCTACACTTACTGTGACCTATGGGATTCCTTGGCGCCAGACTGCCAGAATATGTTTCCATCCAAGCTATAATACTCAGTATTCCTTGGCTCCTGAGTGCCAGAATCCATGTCCACCTGAGCCTCAATGCTTACAGTACCAAGCATCATCCACCAAGCAAAACTATGAAAGACACATGGGTGGGAGAAACAGGGGAGGGGGCTCATAAATCTAGCTCAGGCT